AATTTACTACTCCTTAGGTCTTTTTTTTTACAAATGTCCATTCATTCTTTAGATTCATGTGAAATATAATATATTTGAATTATATATAAATTAAATATATTAAAAATTAAATTTTCTCTCATAAAAAGTATTGAAAATAAATATTATTGTTTATTTTGTTAAGATAAAAAAAAGTTCACTTATTTATATATATATATATATATATATATATATATATATATATATATATATATATATATATATATATATATATATATATATATATATATATATATATATATATATATATATATATATATATATATATATATATATATATATATATATATATATATATATATATTGTGCCCTAGAGACACAAGTTAAGAAACCCACTTATAGTAAAGTTGTATTGGAAAAAATGATTTAAAAACTAATTTTATACTTTAATTAAAATCTGTACACAATTTTCAAGACAATATTTCTTAATTTAGTTTTTAACTTGTGCCCCAAGAACACAAGTTAAATTAAAGTATATAAATTAAATACATTAAAAATTAAATTATCTCTCATAAAAAGTATTGAAAATAGTTATTATTGTTTATTTTGATAAGATAATAAAAAGTTTACTTTTATATATATATATGCAAAAAGTTAAGAAACCCACTTATAGTAAAGTTGTAATGAAAAAAACAATCTAAAAATTAATTTTATACTTTAATTAAAGTCTATACACAATTTCCAAGACAATATTTATCAATTTAGTTATTAACTTGTGCCCCAAGAACACAAGTTAGATATACTGCACAACTACTAATTAAACTACAAAGCTATACTGCAACTTTTTAAGGCAAAAAGTGAAGGGAATATGGGATGCAATCCAAGTTTTATTAACTTTTATCAGTAAATTTTTCTTTTTTCACATATTGTTCAAAACTAATTGACAATATTGACATAGATAAAAAGTGCACCATATTTTTCTCATCCATTGTTTACATAATACAACAAATTAAATCTACATAAATTAGTTTTTCAGATTCACAATAAGTTAAAGAGTACAAATGAATACTATCAACTACAATAGATATGAGCACCTGTGGCAAACACATAATTAAACCCACCACAAAATTGACAAGATTACAATGCTAAGGGGATTAATAAATTGAAAAGTAATAACACAAGTGGAACCGTCAAAGCGGGTAATGGTTTCACCAAGGAGCATGCGGCAGAAGCACCAGAAGAAATTCCATTAACAGGGCCATTAGCCGGAGTAATTCCTGTTGAAGGTACCACAGAGGATTTGGGTGATCTCCCATCAGTTCCATCGAACAACAATGATGGTCAGGGCACTGGTGCAAATATTGATTCTCTCGCAACAGTTGTAGGTGGGGCGATAAGAGGAGGAAATTCCAGTGTCCCTGCAGCATCATTTAAAATATATTTAGCACTTTGACAAGTGCAGTAAAATATACATTATTGAAATGTCCCAAAGAGAAAGAAAAGATGCTTAGTGAGTACTTTAAGTTTCGAGGTCCACAGTTACATTGCACACAGTGACATGTTGTAATGGCATAACTTCCATTAGGGACAAACAAGCTGAAATCAGAAGCATGTTTCGGAAAATTTGAAGCACAGGCTACAAAATGAAAAACAATTATCATCAATTAAAGAACATTACATTTAGACATATTAAATAAGACCATGTTTGAATAAGCAACCTAATTGAGCAGCGAAAGGATAAGTGCTCATCTAGAAGTTATTTTCTTATAAATTATAACATGTTTTCATAATTATCCTAAAAACTTGTGTAAATAAGTTGAAAGCAGCTTATATACGCCATAAGATGTTTCCGTCACCAACAGTTTCACAAATGCTTAAGTCAAATAAGTCAATCCAAACAAATCTAAAGTTTAATTATAGAAATTACAAAGAACAACAAAATAAAAAACTAGCACAATGTGAAATTACCCGGAATAGGAACAGCGAGAATATCACCACCAGAGATAGAAGTAGTCCTCATAACATTAACATTCATCAAATCAGTAAGAGTAGTAAAATATCTAGCAGCAATATAACTCAAACTATCAAGCGGCTAAACAACATAAGACAGATAAATAGCAGGCAAAGCATTATCAGAACCATTGAAACAAGTACTAGGAAGAGGAACAAGAAGGTTATATCCAACATCAAGAACAACATAAGCAAATTGTTCGGACGTGGGCCACGATTCCAATGGTGACAAAAAGATTCCATTCCTCTTCTTGTTTCGTTTTTGAATTTGCAATTTGTTTGGTTGTTAAGTGTTTTAATGTTTTCAGGAATAAGATATTTTGAAGAGGTTAAGGTGATTTGTGAAAGGTGGGTTGAAATTTGTTTATGTGTGATTGGAATGTTGGCTTTGTGTAGAGAAAATTAGATTCAAGATCTGAAGAAAATGAGGAATTTGTAAGAGAGGAAGATAGATGAAGATGGTTGCTAGGATTTTGGAGAAGGGAAGAGAGAAAGAGAGGAATTCAGAAGTTAATAGAGAAGGGCAATAAATCCAAATAGTTTCAAAAAATTAAATCCACGTAGATTAAAGAAATCCATCTAGATTGCCATTTAGGTAAGAGCTAACGTTTTTTATATACAAAATTTAACAGAAATGACTAATTAAATTAACAGAATCATTTTAAAGGATTAAGATGTAATATTTTTTAAATACGAGACTAAAGTGAAACATTAAATTAAGTTAAGAGACTAAAAGAACAATTAAACCAAAATAAATCCAAACTTTATAAGTAAGAATAAAGTTAAAGTTTTAGGATGAAATGCGAGCCTAAGGCAAGGTCCTACCTTAAGTTAAAAGAGAGTGTCTATGGCCAAAGGTCATATGGTTTATTGAATATGCAAGTGTGAATGCAGGTAAGGACATGCAATGTAACAGATGATAAATTAAAATACATGAATGTAAGACAAAATTAGGGTATGCCAATTATCTATTGATTTCATTCCAATTTTCACTAAATCATCAAAATTATGACTGCTTTGCCTAAACACCGTTAGGATAAAAATCAGTACTCGAACTCATCTCCCCGTGAATTCGATCTTATTATATTACTTTGTATTGTCGTGCACTTGTAGCCGCACATCATAAATCACAAATATTCATTTAAGAAAAAAACAAAAACTTAATAGATTTAATCCTAAAGACATCATTTATTCAATCAAAAGGAAGAGATTCAAGAAGGGTAATACTTAAATAAAACACACAACAAATTAGCAATACAACAAATAAAATAAGCATAACATACACATACTACTTCATGTCCTCATTATCATCACAAAATAGTCCATACTTTAAAAGACATTTCAGTTTCAACGAGCTTGTGAGCCATGTAATCAATTTTTGCATTTATCCCTCTTTGAGTTATGGCATGAGTCTGCTCGTTCTGGATGAGAGTGTTGAGGATAACTTCAGTAATAGGAACTTGAGGGATCTTATAATCGAAATTCTCCAAATTTAAAGGTTTTGCATCCTTCAGTGCTTTATGTTGAGCCGAGGTTTATTGTCTTTGAGAACATCCCCTTCCGCCGGTTCCTATTTGCAATAGAACTTTATTGTTGTGATCATATTGCATCTGTCAAAGGCAATAACTTAATATTTTAATTGTATTTTTCACCGGCTCATCTTCTTCTAAATCAAATCCAAATTTTTATAGAATTTTCTTAATCAAGTAACCGCATGGCATCTACTCATTCTCCTTTATTCGTCTCTCTATTATCATATGATAGATCACTCTGTTAGCCTTATTAATTTTAACTTTATTAACTAACAACCAAGTCAAAACAACATCTATTTTTGAGGCTTGTTTAAAATTAAATTTTCTTAAAATGAATGCACGTTGTCATATAATATATGAGACGAGATCCAGGCGTTAAGAAAATTTGTGACTAACATTTTATTGTGCCTTTGATTTTTCACTTGAAGGACAAAATTATGGATGATGACAAATAAACATAGCCGTGTTTGACACTACTCTTATACTTCTTTATCTCACCAGGAGCAACAGCAACATGTTTTAGGTAGCAAATAGGAGATTGATGGTTACATAAAGCTTGGAATTTAATTGAAAACCGTGAATGACGTTACACGTTAGAATTCTACCTTATTATATAGTAAACAAATTGTCATTACATTCTTAATTATGAAAACCACTGGTGCCTGTCTTTGACTTTGTTTGACTCTAAAATATTTTTTATATCCATGTTAAATGAATACATTTGTAAATAGACTAAAAATTAGTTTGCAGATGTTATTTGCAAATTTATTTATGTAATTTATTTTTATTAGGTTTTAGATGAATAATTTAAAAAAATTCATCTAAAAAAATATCAAAGATAAGTATATACTCGTACGTACTGATATATCTATAATCTATAACATATATATAAAAATATCAGAGGCAAAACTTATTTTTGGTGTAGCCTTTTTTATACCAATTTTACCCTTATTTATATGTAACTTACACAATAACTTCTATTAAAACTACTACTATTATCTCTTAAATAATTTTCTATATAATTTTTTATCTATTTTTTTTTAAAATTAATATTAAATAAAAAATATCATAAATATTTTTATGTGTGTATTAAAAAAGCGGACAAGTTTCCGTTTGAACACTAATATATATATATATATATATATATATATATATATATATATATATATATATATATATATATATATATATATATATATATATATATATATATATATATATATATATATATATATATATATATATATATATATATATATATATATATATATATATATATATATATATATATATATATATATATATATATATATATATATATATATATATATATATATATATATATATATATATATATATATATATATATATATATATATATATATAATATATTTTTTATACATGAAACAAAATAGCTTACATCACATATATTGCTTTATTTGAACTATTATTTTGTTTCCAAAGGTAGGGTTGATTTAACTAATTTTTGGGTTTATGTTGAGTATAGATATAATCAAGATGTGCCATTAGTGTCCTTCTTGTCAAACATTCTTGTTCTTCTTCAATTCCTTCACAACTCTCATCATCATCCAATTCTACACTTGATACCTTGCTACCAACAATATTATCCTAATTCAATTCAAACATGATAATTAATCCTCAAAACCCAAATCAAATAATAAACAAAAGAATATGATCAAATAAGATAAACTCAATTGAGAATAAAATATACCTCATGTAGAGAAGAGAGAGCTTTAAATCCAAGATTAGGACGAGAGGCATAAGTTAAACACAAGCTTAATAAAAGAGTTAAGGTGAAGAGGGTACTTAATTTTGACATAGTGATGAGTTCACTATTGTTATTCTTATCACTTACTAGATTTTTTGGGTTGAGTGGAAGACAAAGTGTGGACTCTTTTATATGCACAGAAATTGAGAGCTATTTGAGATTCAAAGAGTATGTTACAAGTGTGTAAATGTCACAAACAATGTGTTGAAACTTCAAAGCTTAAATTCTCATCTTTCATATTTTGTTGACTTTATTGCCACGGTTTTGTATGTATATATGTAAGTACAAGACATATCCAAGTGTACAAAGTTTGATGTCGATCCTCTATAATTTAAAAATATTTCTATTAAACTGAGTATTGAAAGGAAAATGAGAAAGCAATAATAGAATTCTGTGTCAATATGTAAAGAAACGATCTGGATAATTCATTTTCTGAACATTACCATTCTTAGAATTGATTCTTTTACTAAAGTTTTAACACACTCACTGTGTTGCTAGTTAGATCTAATTTGTTGATTGATGTCCTTCGGGGTTGTTATACAATTTGTTTGGGGCTATAAGCAAATCCATTATTTAATATTTAACATATTTTCCTCTATCACTAGTCATGTTGTTTCATAATTGTTCTCCTAAAATTTATAATTGCTTACTATGTAATAACGAGTTATATTTTTTGTCTTGCTGATTATTCTTTCCTAAGTTTTGTTGTTTTTGGGGTTTTCCTTTTTCCTTATGTTGACAGCTTCATTTACCAGGAGTTTTGGCAATTGGAAGTAGCATAAAAGGCAAAACTCGTACTCACATCAATTGGACTCAAATAATTTAGCAAGGCAAAACTTTCAATAAATTTATATATTAATTGATATGGAATTGAATTTCTAAATAAGTAGTTAAAATGTCTAATTAAGTAACAACAATGTGAGATATTGGATCGAATTTTAATAATGTCGACGAAGATATTGTCAGTAGGGATAGCTTTCAGATTTTTGACAGGAGACAAGCATGAAGTCGAAGCCGGTTCACATGTTGATATCGAAGTGTTACATGTTGTAGTCGAAATTAGTTTTAGTATTTAATGTCGAATCGGGTCTTGTATCATGGATCCAATTATTTATGTTAGCTTGTTGTTTAAGTTAACTTAGTAGCCTATAAATAGGCTAGATCTCTCCGGTTGTTGAGAGAGGGCAATTGTGTTATTCACTTGTAATCATTTGTACCCTAATTGAGTAAGTGGGTAAAAAACAGTTTGCCCAAAAATCTTATTATATTTCTTTCTTCTTTATTCCTTCTCTCTCTCTCTCTCTCTCTCTCTCTCTCTCTCTCTCTCTCTCTCTCTCTCTCTCTCTCTCTCTCTCTCTCTCTCTCTCTCTCTCTCTCTCTCTCTCTCTCTCTCTCTCTCTTTCTCTTTGTTCTAACAGTCTCATTGTTCGCCCAGGAAACTCTGTTTTCTCAATCAAGAATTTGTTAATCGGTATCGTTTGTTACGACAAATTTGTGTGGTGAGTGTGGAGAAGATGTCGTCAACAAAGTTTGAAATTGAGAAATTAACTGGATTTAATGATTTTGGTCTATGGTGTTTGAAGATGCGAGTCCTTATTGTTCAACAGGGTTTGCTAGAAGCGTTAAAGGGAGAAGAAGTCGTGGATGCAACATTGATGGAGAAGGATAATAAAACAATGATCGAGAAAGCCCACGATACCATTTTTTTTAGTTTTGGTGATAAGGTTCTCAGGCAGGTTTCAAAGGAGACGACGATAACTGGTGTTTGGCTGAAACTCGAAGGATTGTATATGATAGAATCCTTGGTGAATCGTTTGTACTTGAAGCAGGATTTGTATTCATTCAAGATGAATGAAGATAAAACGTTAGCGGAGCAACTGGATACGTTCAACAAGCTGATTCTTGATCTTAAAAATATTGAGTTTACCATCAGTGACGAAGATCAAGTGTTGTTATTGTTGTGTTCTTTACCTAAGTCACATGCTCACTTTAAAGAAACCCTCTTGTATGGAAGAGAGTCCCTGATCTTTGAAGAAGTTTAATCAGCCTTGTATTATAAGGATTTGAACAAAAGAAAGGAGCAGAAACCATCATCAGTTGGCGAAGAGTTGTCTGTTAAAGGAAAATTCTCGAAAATAGATGGTAGGTTCGAGAAGAAGAAAGATAAAACTCAGCAGAAGTCTTACGGTGGTGATATTTTTGGTATTAGGTGTTATCACTATAAGAAGGAAGGTCATACACGAAAGATGTGTCATGAGCTCCTAAATAATCATGGAGGTAAGGACAATGACAATGCAGCTATTGTGCAAGATGATTATGAATCATCTGATGTCCTTATGGTGTGTTTGAACTGTAGGTTAATATGGGTTTTTGGTATCGTCTCCACAAGGATTGTTAGATGTCTGATGCTTGCTGCTCAATAGTTTACCGTTCTAAGAAAAAAGCTTTTGTCACAATTTTTAGTAGTAAAGCTTATAAATTCTAAAGTGTTTGATTAACAAAGTATATCAAAAGCAGTTTTCATCTACCCTAACTTATACGTATTCTTTCAATCTTGCATGTGAAGTCGTACCCGATTAATATCATCGCGTATTACCCTAATACCATATATCTCTATAGCGGCATCGCGAGAAATACCGTATTCATCGTTACACGATCTCTCCATATAACAATCAATATAGTAAGCTTTAAGTAATGAGACTACCTCTACCTTTGATACAAAGGAAATTAGCTACCCATAACCAGGGTAGCTTGCTTTACAAGTAATGAGAGAAGATGAACGAGCATCCACGTTGAAAAATCGAACTCAGATGCGAATCCAGCTTCTATTTGAAAAATCTCACTTTTTGGTGAAGAAATGCTAAAGAAATAAGTTTCTATGTGAAAATGGGGGTTATGACTCCCAAAAAGTGTGAAAAGTTAAACCGCCCCTAGAAAATATCTAAACTCGCCTAGTGAACTATTCTTCACCCTGCGAGCTACTTCACTATAAGTTTGCACAGTGAACTTATGGCCCTTTACTTACTGTCATCCAAGGTTTCCTCCTTGTTGGGACCTTGCTGAAACTTCGCACAACGAACACTCGCTTCAAGTTCTCCTAGCAAACTTATAGTCCTTTTCTTTCTGCCTCGAATCTTAGAGGGTTTTCTGGGGCTTTGCTGCTACTTCGTCCGGCGAATATTTGTTGGCTGCTCGATGTTGTTTGCCTAACGAGCATGCTGAATCTTCACATTTTCTTTGGCTTCCTTGTTAACTTTCGTTGTGTCTTACTCTTTGATAGATTATGCCTAAATTTTGTACAATAACATACAAATCAAAGCAACCAAAGGTATTTGCAACATTATTGAAGAATAGCATTGAAACATGGAATAAATCTGATTGTACCTGATCAGAGAGACCGTTGGCCTGCTACGCGTCTGAGCTGTCAGACTGTTGGCTTGACGGACGGGGGGTGTACCTGAAACACACTATGATGCCAAAGTAAGGGACGAGCAGAGTGATAACAAGTACAGAGAGAAAGGAGTAAGAATTAGATTACCCGATCCTCTGGTGGAAGAGGGTATTTATAATGAGCCCCAACGCAGGGCCAATGGTTACTATGCGTTGGGATGGGCTGTCAGGCCCAACGCTGGTAACTGCTAGGGCTGACGTGGCGTTGTGAAGATCAGCATGTGGTCTTCGCCCTAGTGTAATTTTTTCGTGCTATCCGGGAGGTGGATGTCCGAATAATCAGGACACGGATAGTTACCTGATAATGTGTCTCCGCGTAGGGGACACGTTCAGAACGTGGGGGAGATTAGAGGAGCTTCCTGAGTTGGATGGGTTCTACCTGACAATGGGGTAGAAGAGGGGCGATTCGGGCAGATGTGAGGATCCTACTCGACTACCATTGGTTGATGCTCGACGGGGGAAGATATTTTGTTCGACCGGCCTTTGCCCGACGATGACGCCTTGTTGGGCCTTCCAACCTGGTGAGGTTTGGGCCTGCTTGGCTATGGACCAAGCGTCAGCCCAGTCCAGAACAAAATCCATTGAAACATAACAAATGGGATGAAAAATGCCAAATATAATGGATCAACTTAAAGCATGTTTAGCATTCAACAAACTCTTCCCAACTAGATTTTTGCTTGTCCTCAAGCGAAGTATGCCTCTCATTGTAAACAAGAGGATTTGGTCAAGCATTTAATTCAACCAATAATGGATTTATGGCTCAAATTAAACAACAAATGCACACAAGTAATGTTCACCACTTCCTAGAATCGAACAATGCAAAAGAATTTAGTTCTTAAACAACTATCATGCAATGCTTCAAGTCACTATTAAATTTTAATGCTTTAATCACTCTAACACTCTTCTTTGAATAAGGATGAAGAAATTAACATGTTTGCAACCGCAGGGCAATTTTACTCACCTGATAAATAATGCAAATGACAATTTAATTCATACATTCATCTAATCAATCAACAATGAAATCATGGAAGTAAGAAGATCACTAAGGTCTTTAAATATTGTAGCTTGGTTAGGTTCACAACAAAGGGACGTATCTAAGGTCATGGAATCAAAGTTGTCAATGCAAAATAAACATTCACTATACAAGGTTATGTACACACTAAAACTTCATCCAACACTTTCTTTTCTCAATTGTTCACCCTTTCAAACTTCCTTTATACACATTATTCATTCTCTATTTTTTTCTTTCAAACAAGCATGTTTTTTTCTTTTTCTTTTTCACATTCATATTCACAATTTTCTTTTCCAATGCTTGTTTGAATTTTTTCAAAATTTTGAGTAACCTACCACTTTTCTTTTTACTCTCCCCAACTTGGTTTCAACCAAATCTCAAGTGAATGCTCCTTGATTTTTATGGCAAGGAAGAAAATTTAGAACAAATTTCAAAGGTTCAAGAAATATTTTTAGAATCCCACAAAATTCAATGATGAATTATCAATCAAATTATTTACAAATACCAAGTTCATCACTAAACTAGGATCTAAACTATTAAGCTCAAAGGGGTTAGCAAATTCTCATTACTCACGGTAAGTCCCTTTTTT